GACTTTGGGCCTTTATCGCTCTGCCTTAGCTTGGAGCCTCTCAGCAATGGTGGGAGGCAGTGGACTGTCTACAAGCCTGAGTGGACACTGCCACACTTTCATTCACTGCACCAGCTCAACTCCAGAGGGCCTGCTCTGAGTCTGAAGCTTGGGGGTCTGCCACCATGGTGGCAGCTAAGCAGGAAGGCAGAATTCCCAGCTTGTCTCTCCGCTCAGTGTAGATTTAGGGAGTTGAGATCTGTCTAGGAGCTGCTGTATGCCCCCTCAGCTTACGTCAGGGAACACTGGCAGGAGAGGGAAGGGTTTCCCAGTAACTGTAGCTGTCATTTAAAGCTATGTGCCCTGAGCAGGGCCCTCACAGATCCGTGTGGCAAGTGTGGGGGCAAGATGCTAGAAATACAAATTTATTTTTCTGTATTTTCTGAAACATAGTCTTGAGGCACGCTCATTTTGGTTTAAATCCCCTAGAGCTATTTGGGAGAGGATGGTGGGTGGGCGTGGGCAGAGAGTTAAATCTGGTATTAGTGGCTGTGCACTTGGTATGCATGTTACTGCAGACTGTCACTGTGGAGACACTGAGCCACACACCATCCGGCGAACACAGGCGTCTGCCCTAATGTAGGTGGGAACGCTTTCATTGGACAGAGGCTGCTAGCTGTACTCGGTGGGCTCCTGAGGGACCCACAGATGTGTTATGGCCCTAGGCTGGGGTTGGGGAACTGGAGGAGAGAGAGGAGTCTCTGGTGCTTGGACAGCCCCTGGGGCTTGAGCCGTGGAAGTGATATTCTGGAACATGTCTTGGGTGCACTTAGCCCTTTTCCAGTCCCTTCGTTTTGGAGTATGTTGGTCATCTGGTCTTACTTGGGATTGGTTGAACTCCTCTGGGAAGTGTAAGGGGCCACGTAGACAGGGAGTAGTAACGTGCACCCCTGTAAGAAACCTAGAGTCAGCCTGGCCCCGTGTCACCTTCTAGCAACCCCAACTTGAGAGCTGGGAGCAGGGTCCTGGGTCAGGATTGAGAGGGAGACTTACTGTCCCTGGGCAGCACCTCCTACCCAGAGCTGCAGTGTCCCTGTGGGTCACCACGTAGATATATAAACACCTGATAGACTGGACTGAGTTTCATCACAGCGTCAGAGGCCGGAGCACCCACACCAAGAGTTCCCTGGCCTCCTAGTCAGCACGTCTCTGATGGCACTCTTCTTTTTGTCCTCGAGGAGTGCATGATGTGACAGCCCTGTTTGCTTACTGGTACATGGTGTGTCAGGTGCCTGGCTAGACTTAGGATAGCTCTTAGGGCACCATGGTCGGAACCAGGTGACAGTCTGGGGACTGTGAGTGAGGGGAGTGCCGAGCTGGACGGGTGCTTAAGGGTAGCAAAGTGTGCAACCAACTTAATCACTGTGGGGCCGTTCTGCCTGTTTGCCTGCCCATTCTCTCTCCTTCCCTCCTCCCATCCTTTTTCTTGTTTCACTGATGCTTGCTGTTTAAAGGAAATAGATGGGGAACTGACCAGATGGCTTGTGGGTAAAGAACCTTGCTGGCAAGCCTGATGACCTACATTCTATACCCAGACCCCATGTGGTAGGAATAGAGAACCAACCTCTGCAAGTGGGCCTCCTACTTCCACATGTGTGCCATGACACACACATGTTCTTGCTAAATAACTCAATAAAGTATAGAGAAGAAAAAAAAAACCCAAACAAAATAGCATGGATTCTGTGAGTCTGGAAATTGACAAGGGAAAAGAGGCATGTGGTGAAATGACTGGGTGTGAGTTCAGTCAAGCATGGTAGGGTGAGGAGAGAAGACAGGGTAGATACCATGTGTATGCAGTGTTCATGACAGATTAAGAAACGTCACCTCATAAAACAACTTCAGGGAAGGAGAGGTGTTGGCCCAGCTGAGCTTGTGAAGCCTCTACATGGATGTAGTTAGAATCAGACATGGACCAGGGCCACCAGCACATGGGCCACCCTGCTGCTGTAGGGTGCAAGGCAGCTGGAATCTACACTGCTGAAGTCCCAGCAAGAGATGACCGTGCTCAGGCCACATTTAGGACTCGATGTAGAGGGACCAGGGACAGGCCTGTCCTTGGGAGAGAAGAACTCAGCAACATCCCTGCCTAGAGCTGGGTACAGTGCATGAGGAGTGATTAATCCAATGGAAGGAATAGGCCGTCACCAAGCTCAAATATACTGTATTTGATCAGTGACATGGACAGAAAGGAAGAGTCATTCACTTCCAAATAACTGCCTGAAGAAGAACTTGGGTCAAAACTGGCAGTTTGGGAGGGCGTGTCCATGAATGAGTTACAGACTAGAAACTTCTGGGATCTGGCTAAGGTGGAGTCATAGACAAATGTATTTAATATGAAGGAAGATTGAAAATGACTGAAGAGCTCAATGTTGGGGGCTCTAGAAGGAACACTGAAGAAGAGGCCCTTTTTTTACCCAGCCTTTGAGGAGCAGTCAAGTAGGTTAGAGCATTGGTGAATGGAGGAAAGAGCCTGGCAAGATGAGCAGAGGCTGGCTTGTCAAGGCCTGAGAGCCTCATGAGGCCCAGAGCACGTCAGCATAGAGAGCCTGGTCTGCGCAGTAGGTCTGAACATCATCATTTGATCTTGTTGTCAAGCAAATATCGTAGCCTGTACTTCACAAACCAAAGTGGCCACAATAGCACGGTGATGCAGTCTGATAGGAGTCCAGGCTGCACTCAGCGCCCAGGCTGCTTCCTGGGGCTCTGCACAAGCTAACAAGCCGCTGGATGAGCGCTGTTCCTTCTAGGAATGCAGTGGGTCCTGGTTGCAGGTGTCTTGCAGTCCTCTTAGTAGACAGGCACTGCTGGGAAGGAGTGTGGGCCCTACAGAGCCTCCAGGCTGCTTGTGCGTCCCTGAACTCGAGCACCTGGCCTCTGGCCTTGATCCCCCTGTAAGCTGGGTGCAGTCTCCAGTGAGTCCACTGCTGTTGCTGCTGACATCTTGTTCCCAGCTTGGCATCTGGTGTTGGAGTGATGACAGCAAGGGGAGGGAGCCACCAGTGTGTGTTTGCTTGCTTCATTGCTGGCCCCTTCCTGGAGCTCTTCCCATGAGCTCTGGGTGGGCAAAGGGGCCCATCTGCTTTTGAAGCTCTGTTCTCTGGTTTCCTTACTGTTTTTTTCCTCTTTGTTTTTCCCCCCTCAAAATGAAAAAGCATTTTTTTTATAGTATCACTGCCATACATTCATTAAAAACTTCCAAATATGAAAATGGCCAAGATTGTCAAGAATCAGGTAGCCATTCTTGGAAAGTGTATCACCTCTCTCCATCAGCCTTGTAACCCCTTGCCAACTGTCCACTGGAAGGGACATTCCCCACCTCCACTCTCTGCACATGCAGCCAGTGTTACTCAGAAGTGGAGTCACATGGTCCAGGATGCCTTGCACGTGGTATTTGACACTCACTGTTCATGGATGTGAGTGGGCATTGTTCCCTATCAGTAAAAGTGGGTCCACATTATCTTGGCTAATGGTAGCTTAGAATTCCTGGGGCTGCCAGGGGTAGGGCACACCAGAGCCTGTGGCTCCACTTGCGTGGAGAAGGGAGGTGACAGGCAGGCGTTGGCTTTGTATTGTATCTACTCGGGCTTTGTTTCCCACAGCTTGGAGTAGTAAAGGCACACACTGTCCTCTGGGGATTAGGTGGGTTAATGCAGGTGCAGGGCTCCGGGCAAGCCACCGCTAGCTGAGGTGGGACTCTATCTCTCACTCCATTCTGAACACCTCTGAGAGAGAGAACTAGAAATGGATTCTAGAAGTGTGAGCAGGCATGTTCTCTCTTGAATCTGCTCAACTGTCCTATCTCCTGGGGGAGGAGAAGCTGCTCATGGCTGTGAGGTCTCTTTCTAACCTAAACTAGGCTGAATGCAGGGAGTCTCCCTAGCTTCCCCTGTCTCTAGCCGAGGCTCTGCTGCTGAAGGCCCCTCGTGTGGGCAGTTCTTGTTACAGTCTGGTGGTAGAGGAACTGAGAGGAACCTTTGTGACAGATGTAAGAGACAACCTTTGACTTGGTTTTGCCTGCAGAATGCCGGGCACTAGCCATGGTAAATGTACAGCTGGGGGAGAGATGGTTGCATCTGTGGCTGTGACCAGATCCTGGCTTGGCCTATCTTTCTCAAATGGATTCCTGGCATATGGGGAGGAATGTTCTTTCTCTATTGGGAGATCGTGATCTTGCCACCCCCAACCCCCAACCCCCAACCTGGGCGTGTTTGTTGGAGAGTGCTGCATAGCATGTACTTGACGTTCCCCTTTAGGTAGTCACTCTGACCTTCAGTCCCCAGGAAGCCAGAGCAGCGCATCACCCAATGTTAAGGCTCAGACTTAAGGAAAATGCATGTACAATTGAGACACTGGCGTCATTTCATCCACTTCCCAGGCACCTTCAGTGTTTCCCTCCTCGGCCTCCTTCCTATTGTTCATTCAAGCCATTGGCTTCTCCTTGGAGCTGCCTTTTCTCTGGGCTGCAGTAGGGCAGTGTTAGGCCTACATCAGAGAGGTGAGTGTGATCTCAGCTATGTATCTCTGACCTCCTGTTTCTCACTGGGGAAGCCATGGAAATGGTGCCAGCCTGGCCAGACTGCCAGCGTGGGTGTCCTGCTCTCTCCCTTCTGCCTCCCCTTGATCCCACAGCCTGGCCTGTGTTGAGATGTTTGGAGGCTGAGGCCCAACTGTGCTTCTTATACCTGAATACATGCAGGCTTCTTGGGCAGAGGCTAAGAAGGACCATGTGCTGGACAAGGGCTCAGACTTTTGTCCCACTGCAGCTGCTATTCTGGAACTATGCAGTTAGACTCAGAGTGACCTTTTGGGAGGGTTGCAGGGTGTATATGGAGATACGGTCTTATGTACCCCAGGCTGGCCTAGAATTCCTGATCTCCCGACCATCACCTCCCAGTACTAGAGTCACTGGCATGTCACTATGTCCAGCTGACCTTCGGTGTTTGTTCTGTTTGTTCTGCTAGGGGCATGCTACCACCGTTGCCTTTTCAAGAACGGGGGAGTATTTCGCTTCCGGAGGCTCTGATGAACAGGTAAGAAAGAATGGCCTAAGGAATCAGAACTCCATAGGAGGCTGGAGGCCATCCGAAAATAGGGTGAACACACTGACGAAGTGTGAGTGGAGGCACCCAGGTCCAAGGTATCGGCTGTTCCCCAACAAATCTCCTTCAGGGATGACCTGTGGAAGTATCTCAAACTAGAATGGATTGGAGGACTTTGAGCTAATTATCATGGTGAAAAAGTTGAAGAGTTTCAGGTTTTTCCCCCTGATTGCATAAACAGTGAAGAATTCTGGCTACTTACTGCAGATCTGGTAATGTCGTCAGTGTGGCAAGCATTCCATAGCTCATTTAGCTCCCCTGCATCCTGTGGGATAAGTCTTCCCACTTTAGTCTTATAGATGAGAAACCAGTCTCAGCAGAGACGGCAGAGAGGGCAGAGAGGGTAGGCCCTAAGCCCATCTGACTGCTGGGCCTCCTAGTCTGGGGGCCTCTGCTCCATTCTCTGCTGTCTTTGGCTTCCCAGCTCACTGTCCATCTAAAGGGTCAGCATTTTCTGTATCCTTGACTGCAGAGAGGAAGTCCTGTCCCACCTTATCACCACTCACACTGAGGCTTCATCCTGTTAGCCCTGTGCCTCTTTGCCCAGACTGCTAAAAGCCACGGGCTTATCTGCTGGGGGAGGGAGGTACTCTGACCTTGGTGTCCAGCTCAAAGCCTGGCCCAGGAAAGGTGTGGGGCACTGAGGGATGCACCTGTCAGCAGTGTCCCAGGGCATACACAGTCCCTTTTGTCCAAGCATGGCGGAAGAAAGAGTGGTGGCCATAAACATGCTTGATCTGGTGGGCTGCTGAGAATGTTCATCCTCTGGGTGCCCAGCCTCTGTGTACTTAGCCTAGACAAGTCCTGTTTGCCTTCCATAAGTCCCAGCTGCAGTAAAATGTACTGATTTTCAGTAAAACAGAGGTTACCTAAATGTTCTTTGTCCATAGCCTAGATAAGAGCCAGCTTGTACCTTCCCACCCCATCACTAGGTCCTAGCTATCAGCCAAAGAGGAGGAAGGTACTGGAAAGCCTTGAGCCTCCAGTGAGTGTGAAAGCAGAAGCTGTATGGCAGGTGCTCGTGTTAACCGTGTAGTAGAGGTGTACACTAGAAGCCATGCTAAGACAAAGTCACCCAGACAGCAAGGCTGACAATTCCCTCAACGTTTTACAATTTGGTCATGTTTTTCTGGGGTGACATTGATGTTAAGTCTACATTCATGCTGGCCACTCTGTTGTTAGTAATGTTAGGTCTCCACAGTTATATAAGAACTTTGTACGTGCTGTATGCATATGCCAACATTCTGTTTGTAAAATGGTAGACGAGGTACCCATATGCCCATCTCTCTGGGAAGTATTAACAGTGGTAACTGTGAGGAACCTCTCGAGGAATCATGTTCATTGCTGTGTCCCAATGGAGTGACATCCAGGGTATGTCAAGTCTTCTAGGGTAATAGAGTCGTGGGTTTTTTGTTTTGCTTTATTCTGTTTTTTTGTTTTGTTTTTGTTTTTTGTTTTTGTTTGTGACAGTCATAAACTACTCATCATGTTGTATGAGTCTTCTGATGGCCAAGTCACCCACCCTGAAAATAAGCCTAGCAGCACCCAGCCGCCTATGACTGCTAGCCACCACTAGAGGGTACTCTTGCTTCCGAGCAGAGTAACTGAGCTTTTGTGAAATACTTTTAGGCATTATCTGTTTTGGAAAATACTGAATGTGGTTAGTTATTTATTTGGGATTTTTTGACATTTATTTTTGTATCTTTAACTTTCTTTTAAAAATGTGCATAGGTTGAGTTCGAGGCCAGCCTGGTCTACAGAGTGAGTTCCAGGACAGCCCGGGCTATACAGAGAAACCCTGTCTCGAAAAAACCAAAAAAAAAAAAAAAAAAAAAAAAAATGTGCATAGGTGTTTTGCCTCTATGTATGTGTATGCAATGCCTGTGGAGGCCAGAAGAGGGCGTCGGATTCCCTGGTACTAGAGTTACAGAGGTTATAGTTGCTATGTTGGAATCTATCCGTCTGTCTGTCTGTCTGTCTGTCTATTTGTGTTGAGGCAGGATCTCACTCTTTAGTGCTGGGTGGCCTGTGTATACCAGCTTGGCCTTGAACACACAGAGGTTTACCTGCCTTTCCCTCCAGTGCATACACTACCATACCTAGCTAAGAATGTATTTTTTTATTATTAAACTTATTGGACTTAGGATAATGAGTGTGTTACTCTCCATTCCCTGGTGCCAGTGACTGTGTCACACTGTGTCCTCTGAGCCTCATAGCAGCTCTGAGATCTGGGAGCTGGGATCTTTTCACAGAAGAGGGCACAGACATATGCTGGATTCCTCACCTAAGGCCTCACAGTAAGGGGCTGGAGCCAGGACAGCAGTCCAGTAGTGTGGTCTGGAGTGTATGTTCACTACTTCCCACAGTGTCCTGGGCAAGCTACCACCCTCAAGCCTTCCTTTCCAGACCGACATGATAGACAAGGAAAGGAAACAAATGGATTTGATAGTGATTCTGACATTGAGACAGCTGTGACACTTGGGTAGAGGGACAAGCAGGTGCTAAGATCTAATCATGCTATGTGGTGATACCCCACCCTGGTGCCACATGCACCAGGCCTGTACCCAGAGACTCCTCATCAGGGATGTGAGGCAGGTCCCAGAGTTGGATTGGCATATCAGGTAGGAGCCACTACGGCTGAGAACTTTGGGGTGGACTCAGTTACCTCTCTTAATTCTCTACCTGTTGCTCTTGACAGGTGATGGTCTGGAAGAGTAACTTTGACATCGTTGATTATGGAGACGTGAAAGCACGGAGGCCCCCACCCCTAACCAGCTCTGCTGGGACTCTGGTAAGTGGCTTGGCAGTTAGGGCTTGAACCTTGTGACTCAGATAGTCACAGTGATCAGCACAAGGCTTGGAGGTGAGGGGGACTGGAGGCTTCTCTGTCATGAGAAAGGAACCTTGGTATGATCTACCAAATAACACTTTGAGCCTTAACTCCAATCCAGACTGAACAAACAAGACATAAAGGCTGCAGAGCAGTTTTAGGGTCCAGGATGCCGGCCCCTTTGGTGGGGGTACTGTCATGGTATATGTTGCTGCTGGAGGGAGGCCAAGGCACACAAAGGACCTGTCCAATGCTGGGCCTTCCTCCAGTCACAGGACCCATGTCCATGGTTCCTAGAGGGCTCAGCTGGGACGGATGGGAAAGACCCTGGTTTGGTTATTCTCAGTTCTTTATTCTTTTTCTCCTTAAACCATGGAGAGGAAGTTCCTTAGCCACAGACCATTTTTAGTACTTTTGTTGGTTAAAGGACAGTCAGTATTCCTGAGTAAAAAGAATCTAATTTTGTAAAATAAATCACTGAGTGAAAAATGATAACTGATAAAGGCTCATTAAATAAATCTATCACTCATTTCAACTTGGGTTGAAATCCCAAAGGCTTTAGGCTTCTATGGCCATGGACTGTTTTATCCTTTCCTCCTCCTGGGCCAAAGAAACACTGTGGCCTCCTGGGTGGGAGGAAGCTGGCCTGAGCAACAGGAAATGGCTCACCCAAACCCTCAGCAAGTCAAGGCTGGAACTCAGAATAGAACCAGGAAGCCTCCTAGTCTGTCCCAGGCTTACTGTGGCTGCCCCCAGTCTGCACTAGAGCTGCCTCTGGAGTAGGCTACATTGTGCCTACAATTTTCTCCCAAGAATCTCTCCCTTGACCCAGCCACTGTGGCTGGAGGCTTTGTTTCCACTCTGTGTTTGAGCTATAAGCTAGGTGGAGCTTTCTGGGTTGCCCCAGTGTTCTCCTTGCTTCTAATCCATTTTCTGCTTAGAAAGCACTTTGAATGGCAAGGCTAGGGTCCTGTGTGGATCCTGCCCTCTATCCTGCAGCTCCCTGACTATTGGGCACTTACAGGGAGACCAGCACTGCCCAGACCGTTACATGTACTCGTTGCCTGCAGAGTGAGTGGGTGGTTCTTGCCCTAGTTCTCAGGTGAGACTCCGAGCTATAACCATGCTATCTCCTCTGAGCAAGGCTTAGTAGCCATGCAGGTGGCTGCTGGTGCCAGGGGGCTGTTTGATAGCCCTTCCTATCCTGCGAGGCCACTGCTGTCTGCCTTGGGGGAGTGGGTAGGATCAGGTGGAAGAAAAATTGACATTACTACTATTATTATTAAAAAGAATTTCATGCAAGTATTGAACATTTTCCTCCCACCCCCTGCCCTCTCATCTCTCTTCCCTCCCATCCTGATTGTTATCTTTGTCCCTGCAGTTTAACTTGTACTTTCATGTCATGTGTATGTACACAGGTTTATGAATCTATATAAAACGTAGGAACCACAAAAGAGAGAAAACATTTAGTGTTTGCCTTCCTGAGACTGCCTTGATTCATTTAATCCGGACATCTCTGGTTGCATCCATTTGCCTGTAAACAACATAGCTTCATTCTTTTTGTGAGTTAGCTGTTGTGAGTAAGGCTGCAGGTGTCTCTGGGATATGCTGGCTTGGAGTTCCTCCAGTAAACACCAAGCAGTGGTAGATAGAGCTGGGCCACACGGTCAATCTGCTTTTAGTTGTTTGAGAAGCCTCCACTCTGAGTCCCACAGTGGCTACTAGCTTACGTTTCCACCAATGGAGCATAAGTGGTCATTTTGTCTACATCCTTGCCAACATTTGTTGTTTGTTTCTTAATGGCAATTCTGACAGGACTAGGGTGGAACTCATTGTAGTTTTGATGACTAGTGAGATTGCCTGTATTTTTTTTTTTCTTATAATTAGGAAATTAAGTTGGACAAACTGCCTGTTGTCAGAATGGGGAACATACCCGCCTTGTTTCCCAGAGCTTCAGGGCCTGAGAGTCTAGGGTGCAGTCACATCACGTGAGTAGAGGAAGACAGCGTGAGAGGATGGAGAATTGGAGGTGAAGGGCTGAATAGGACCCAGAGCAGCCAGTTGTCCTCAAACTACTTTGAGGCCCATATTGGGGCTATTGCTATAGTCCTACCAATGGGTGCCCCTACATGGGACTCAAGCAGGGGACAGGATATGAGTTCTGATATCATGGAGCTGCCTCTGAACCCTGCTGAGTAGTCCTGGGCAAGCACCCCCATCTTCCCAAGCCTCCATTTCTTCAGGGGTTCAGAATACCCCCATAGGCATGTAATGAAGGCACCTAAAAGTGACACAGTAATCTTAGAGTTATTCTTGGTTGAGATAGGAACTTTTTCTTTGTCCTAAGTCCCTTCTAGAGCCTTGAGAGAATGGGTATGCCTTCTAGACACCCAAACATACACACACCTAATGCTGCCTGAGGGGTTTCATTGAAAGGGAAAAAGAAGACGGCCCAGGGTATTGTTCTGCCTGGTTTTAGTGTGGTGTGTGTGTGTGTGTGTGTGTGTGTGTGTGTGTGTGTGTATGTATGTGTGTATGATAAAATTGACCATTTTAACCATGTCTCAGTGTCTGTCTTAGTAAGTCATTAGCATCCACCTCCACGGATTTTTCATTCTCCTGTGCTGGAGACAGCAAGTTTTTGCAAAACTGTGGTAGCTAGGTTCTCTCCTTAGGTAGAAAGGGACCTGGTTAGTTTCTTTCCTGGCACTCAGATCACCTGTTTGGCCAGAGAGCTCAGCTCCTCACGGGCCCGGGAGCACTGCTTTGTCCTGTGAACAGGCTCTGACAAGCGCCCGTGCTTCACTTCTCCCCACGTCCCATCTTTCCAGTGACTCCGGGTTGCTCAGCCTCAGCAGTTTGCATTGGGGCAGATATTCTTTGAGTGCAGTCCCATGCACCATGACATCGTTAGCATCCTTGGCCTTTACCTAATAGATGCCAGTAGCATCCTGCTTCCCAATTGTGATGACCAGAAATGTCTTCAGCTATTGTCAGGTGTTACCACTGAGAATTACTGCAAAACCTTCTTGTTCAGAAGGAGCCCAGAAAGAAAGTGGTTGGGAGGCGTGGGGTGAGGCTGTGGGAGAAGTGTGCAGGGGAACTGAGGTAGGCTGCTCTAGGAGCCTGTGCCAAGGATTCTGCTCAGCTGGGTCAGGTTTGGGTTCCCACCAGAAGATGTAGACCAGAGCTCTCAGCTCAGTCCATTTTGCAGGAATGCGGTTCGGTCTATCAGATTTCAGGCTCTCCTAGAGATGTTGGTAAACAATAAGAAAAGACTCTTTACCTTTAGCAACTTGGTTTTCTTCAGAATGGCTGTGTCTTGTCCTTCCTGCCCAAAGGCTATCAGACTCGAAGGCAATACCTAATGAGAGGCCTGTGGGTGGCCAGGGTGGTTTACTTCTCCAGTCATGACCCAGCTGTTCTGCCGCTCTGATGCCCTTTGCCCCCATCATCTCTGTCTCCCAGTCGCCTAGTCACTGAAACAAGGTGTGTACTCCTGGGCATTTGGAGTTGTCAGGGAGTTCATTGGGCCAAGTACATGTGGAAGTTCTGACCTTGTGCTTTCTCCAGGGTGGCCATTGGAAACCAGAGGGACAGACCTTACCTGGACCCCTTGCTGCTCCCCCCACCCCTAGCAGAGACTGGCAAGGACAACCTTGTGAGCCCGTAGAGGTCCTTCACCCTTGAGCCCCCCTGCCTGTGACCTCGTCTCTGAATGTGACGTGTCAGCTTTCAGATCTTGGAATGAAGGCTGTCCTTAAACTCACTCCAAGCGGAGCCGTGCTCACTGTGGAGCTATTTTCAACCTCTGGTTGAAATTCACAGCTTATTTTTAGGCACATTTCATGTTGAAAAGCAAAAGCCATTTCCCAGCCATTCAGAATGAGAATAATGGGTGCCATTTTCCCTCTGTTCTTGGCTGAGTTGTACAAAGGAAGGATTTCAGGGCTCGTGGCTGGGGCTCTTTCTCTGCTTGGAAGGTTGCACATGAAGGATTCCAGGCCATGCTGTGGGCTGAGTGGGCAGCAATCTCCATGCTCTGCCCTGAAAGAAAGCTTGAAGGACTACTTGTGGGCAGATGAGTGCCTCCTGGAGGGGTGTGAGTGGGTACCCAGGGGGCTTCTCTGTAGCAGATACTTGTAGTGGTGTTTCAGGGAATTTGCTTAGCCTGTTCCTTGCTGCAGCCCCACCCACAATCTGTTCTTACCTAGTCTCCTGCTCTCTGAACTTGAGGGTCTGTTCCTTAGGCAGAAAGACCCTGGTGTCATGACTAGTTTCAAAGTTAGCGTCTTGCCCATCCCAAATCTTCTGCAGGACAGATTTCTACCCCAGGTGCAGAAATACTTTTAACCTTTTTGTTTGGCTTGTTTTGGACAGGGTCTCACCATGTAGACCAGGCTGACTTTGAATTCACAGATCTTCCTACCTCTGCCTGCATATTGGAATTAAATGCATGTAGTACCATGCTCAACTTTTTAATCTACTTTTAATGAACAAGGATGCATTTATTTGGATCTGCCCTTATTTTTGCCATAGTCAGAGGCCCATTATGCAATTGAGAAGTTGTACTAGGTGGGGTGGGAGAGGAAGAACACCATGTTCTAGGTAATTCAATGAAACTGACAGAGGAAAAAACCAACCCACTTCCTGCGCTCTCAAGGTTGGCTGCTCCTGGTTAGACATTAACCTTGATCTCTGGGTTGAGGGCTTTTCTCTGCTCACTTCTCAAGATTACATTTGAAGGAGAAAAACTACCTGTGGTTAAGTGCTTGGCCTCTGGCTTCCGACCAACCAGTGATTGAATCCTGTCCCTGCCTTGTTTGGGCTGTGACCCTAGCCAGTGGCCGGATCTCTGAGGTCTTGGTTCCTCTTCTGTCAGCCTGGGTCCTCCCCCTTTCATGAGATTTCACAGGTGGCATACCGAGCAGCACTTGGCCCTGTTCCTGGCACACGGTGAG